ACCACTAAAAAAGGAAAACACTGAAAACGTATCAAAAGCCATATCAGGAAAAGACACTTAACCCAGATCTTTTTGTGGACAAGTTCTATCAAATGTGGAAGACTTAGATCATTTTGATTTAATTTAGACTCCTACAAAACAAAATTGGGCATGGTGGCTCATGCCTGTAATCCCAACATCTTAGGAGGCTAAGGCGGGAGGATCACTCGAGCCCAGGAGTTCAAGACCAGCCTGGACAACATAGTGAGACCCCCATCTGTACAAAAAACTAAAAAATTGCTGGGAGACTAAAGTGGGAGGATTGCTTGAGCCCAAGAGTTGGAGGCTACAGTGAGTCAGGAGAGCGCCATTGTGCTCCAGTCTGGTTAACAGAGTGAGACCCTATATCAAAAAAAAGGGCCAGGTGTGGTGGCTCACGCCTGTAATCCCAGAACTTTGGGAAGCTGAGGCAGGCAGATCACCTGAGGTCAGGAGTTTGAGACCATCCTGGCCAACATGGCGAAACCCTGTGTCTAATAAAATACAAAAATTAGCTGGGCGTGGTGGTGCACACCTGTAATCCTAGCTACTCGGGAGGCTGAGACAGGAGAATAGCTTGAACCTGGGAGGCAGAGGTTGCAGTGAGCTGAGATCGTGCCTTCCAGCCTGGGCAACAAGGAGAGACTCTATCTCAAAGAAAAAAGAAAGGAAAAAAAGAGTAGAAACACTGCAAGGAGAGCACGTGGCGCAGTCTGGGGCAGCGAGTGATTGTTACAGTTACACAGGGGTCAGTTTTACTCATCGACAGGGATGCCCACACTTGCCATGAGGCCCTGCGTGTCACTCTGAGGCTGCCGGAGAGCTGCAGCCAGGAGCCCTGATGCTGCCTTCTCCAACGGCCAAGCGGATGCCCTCACTCAGCTCAGGAACAGGGAGCCAGCACTGCTGAGAGCAGGCCACTGGCCATGTAGGAGTGAGGATAACGCTTTGACAGCCACAGAGGTGTACATGACTCCCGTGTTAGCTTATCTTCTGTGTGGCAGAGCACCTCTGCCACCTTCCCATCTGGGAGTACCTGAGTCACTGTGGTCACATTTGCAGGGAACAAAGGGCCATTCGGGCAGGGATAGACACTTGCTTATCACCACCCACCTGACAGGGGCTCAGGCTGAAGCGGAGGTGACCTCTCAGGAGGACACCCTGAGAGGTGCACACCTGGACACCAGGAAGAGCTTTCCTGTGACGTCACCCACGTTCTGGGCTGACTCAGTGCCTCTCTCTCGGATGGAAGTCTCGTTCAGCGCTGCCGCAGTTCCTCTGACGTCTCCATAGCAACGTTCACGTGGATTTCAGAGAACAGAAGGTGTTTGAGCTGGAAGGGACCTCAGAGATTGGCTCCTCCTGCCCCCTCATTTCATGGAGAGGGGAGCAGGCCCAGAGAGGGAATGCCACAAGCCCAGGGGCACACAGCAAACCGGGGACCCCTCGGAGAGCACAGACTGCTGAGCTCCAGAGGACAGTCTTGGGAGGTGCCCTGGGGGCACCGGCCGTGGGGGCTTTGCTACTCCCTGGCTTGCTAAGAGTCCCCTGAAGTCCAGTCCAGCTCTCTCCTGCTCAGCCACAGAGCAATCCCTCAAGTGCCTGGCAGGAGCAGGAGCAGGCAGGACAGGATCCTGTCCTCAGGAGGCTCACAGGCTGGTGCAGACGATGTGCAGCGGCCAGGGCAGGGCTGGAGAACATCCAGGGAGCCAGAGGTGGGGCAGGACGAGCCAGGGCAGGCTCCCTGGAGGTGGAGACCACACACAGAGCCTGGAAGCCTGAGGAGGCCTCACTCTGGGCACACAGGGGCCAGCCTGAGGGCCCCGCTCAGGGGGCAGAATGTAGGGAAGAGGCTGGAGGGTTTGGAAAATGGGGGCCAGAGAGAGACTGTCCTGGTCCGTGGGTCCCAGGGGTTGTAGTGGCTGAGGGTTCATGGCATACATACCTCCAGACACCCAGGACGGTCAGAAGGCACCGGCAGGAGCTACAGGCCACAGTGTGAGGGGCCGTCAGAGGGTAGCAGGAGCGAGGCCCTAAGGAGACGAGGTGCTCCCTTCCCTTGAGGACAGGAGCTCGTGGAGACCCTCCCCTGCCTGGCAGAGCCAGCTCTGCACCAGAAGGGTTGAGGGCTGGAGCACCCCTCCCAGGGAAACACAGATCTCACTCTCCGCCTCCAGCTCCCAGGGCTCATCTCAACCTCGGAGCCTGCCTCAGGGACTGCCCTGGCCCACAGGCCCCCTCCTTTCTCCAGGTCAGAAGACGCCAAGAATTTGGACATCCCAAGGCCTCCCTCCTGGCCTTTCCCACCATGCTGGCCTGCTGCCTTGCCCTCACTGGCTGTCTGTTGTAGTTATTTACTGCTATGTAACAGAAACATGTATGAATCTGCAGTTTAAAAAGGCTCCAAGGGGACAGCTCCACTCTGCTCCGCATGGCATCTTGGGCTGGGGCACCCACCGCCAAGATGACTTCTCTCCCTGCACGGCTGGCAATTCGGGACCTCCCCATGTAGGTTTCCCCCAAGGCTACTTGGGCTTCCTCCCAGCATGGCAGCTGGGTTCCAAGAACCACAGTTCCAGGAGATGGAAAGGTCTGGGTCCAAAAACGGATGCCAAGTCACTTCTGCCATAGCTGCCGTTCCAAATAATCATAGTCCTGTCCAGATTCAAGGACAGGGGACGTGGGCCCTTTCTGTCCTTGGGAGGAGTACCAAAACATTTAATCTGTCTCTTTTTTTTTTTTGTTTTTTGTTTTCTTGAGACAGAGTCTCTCTGTGTTGCACAAACTGGAGTGTAGTGGTACAGTTTCAGCTCACTACAACCTCTGCCTCCCAGGTTCAGGCAATTCTCCTGCCTCAGCCTCCTGAGTAGCTGGGACTACAGGCATGTGCCACCACGCCCAGTTAATTTTTGTATTTTTAGTAGAGACGCGTTGGCCAGGCTGCTCTCGAACCCCTGACTTCAAGTGATCCACCTGCCTCAGCCTCCCAAAGTGCTGGGATTACAGGCATGAGCATTGCGTCCAGCCCCATTTAATCCATCTTTAATCTGCTGCAGCATCCCACTGGTCTCTGTCCCATGGACTCCAACCTTCCCTTCCCTGCCTCCAGGCCTACAGCTTTTTTCCTGGAGGTCCTCTCTGTTCCTATTATCACTCCCCTGGGTGACTACAGACGCCATCAATCTCATCTCCAGGCCCACAGGCTCCATTGTCCATCCCCTCCTGCCAGTCCCTGGTATTCCTGCAGCACAATGTCCTCTGCTCAAAAACCATGCATGGCTCCCTACTTCCCACTGTACAATTTCCAGGCTCCTTGGAATAACACTCAGGTCTCCCTTCCCAGCTGACCCCGTTCTGCTTACCAGTTTGGATTACCTCCTGTTTCCTCCAAGCAACTGGCCCACACTTTGGCCACCTCAGCTCAAAGTGCCCCGCTCCTGGTGCTCTCGACCTATGCATATTTACTTCTGTCACCTGGCCACTTTGTCTCTCATATTGGACTTTAGCTCAATACTCAAAGACCAATGCAAATCCTCCCTGCTACAAAAGGCTTCCCCTCACTACTGACCACACTTGTCTCAAATCTTTGTTAGCAAGGACATGTCCTTCTGAAGTGACGCTTGTGTTTCTAAGTCACATTTCTTTCTCTTTTCTCTTTTTAAGACAGAGTCTTGGTCTGTCACTCAGGCTGAAGTGCAACAGCACAACCTCAGCTCACTGCAACCTCTTGCTCCTGGGTTCTAGCGATTCTCCTGCCTCAGCCTCCCAAGTAGCTGGGATTACAGGCCCCTCCACCACACACGGCTAAGTTTTGTATTTTTCATAGACACAGGGTTTCACCGTATTGGCCAGGCTGGTCTTGAACCCCTGACCTCAAGTTATCTGCCCACCTCAGCCTCCCAAAGTGCTGGAATTACAGGCATGAGCCAGTGCGCCCAACCTCTTTCACCAACTTAATAACCGCTTATGGAGGCCCAGAGCTGGCTGCTGGGGACAGCAGTGACCAAGACAATCTGCTTCCTGTGCCCAGAGAGCTTACACTCCAGAGGGTGAAACAGATGGCAAACACAGGAACCAAGAGACATAACGATCAAAGATTACAAGGCCTGCTGAAGCCAAGAGAGGGGTCTGTGATGCAGGCACCCAGAGCTTCCTATTTTCAAGAAAAACCAGAGACTTGGATTTTTACGTAAACCCTCCTAATTTTAAAGGTTGCCAAAGCAAGCCCGTTTCCTCTGCTCGCGAGAGACTCCCTCCCCGCCTGGCCTCCCACTTTCTCCGGCGCCTACCTCCTTCTCTTCCTGGTGGCCCCATCACACTCCTCCCCTGCAGGATGCCCTACTTGCACCCAAATCCTCCTGCCACCTATGCCCTGGGGATATCTGAGCAGCAGGCAGGAAGTGGTGGGGAGTCCATGGCCCAGGACCCTGGGGCCAGTGCACAGCAGCTGCTGAGGCCCCCAGCTCAGACCTTGTAGGGGATGGACACCTGGAGTCCCCAGGGCTGGAAGAGTGGAAGCCAAATACCCTGGCCAGGCCCACTGCACACACATTGGGGTTTGCTCTGGAGGAGTTGGGGGGCCAGAGGAATGAGAAAGGAAGGGAGGCCTGGGGAGTTCTGAGAGGGCTTCCCAGTTTGCCCCCCAGCTCTGCCAGGTCCCTGGGGAATGAGTCTCTGGGGATCTCTGCCATGGGACAGTTTATGTTCTCTGGAGCTAGCATTCCCAGGAGCAAATTCTAGCTCTGCCCCTTCTTAGCCTGCTGACCTTGGACAGCCCTCCTTGCTGTTCTGGGCCTCAGTTTCCCCATCTGAACACTGGAGACCATACCAGCACCCACCTCGCAGGATAATTTTGAAGAGGTCACGTGCCTGGCACGAAACAGCGCTCAGGGGAAGGCAACCTTCCATGGCCTCTGCTGTGCTGGCTGCTGCCAAGCCCTCTCGAGGAATCACTCTGCTGGGCACTGCCCCTCCACCTGTGTTTTCTCAGGCCTCTGATCTGAGAGGCAGCTGATTGGGCTCTGGGCACTGCCAGCTGGGAGGGCTCAGGCCTCAGAAGGGTCCAAGGTCCTGGTGACAGCTGTCACATCTCCAGGGACAGCCGGGTCAACTCTCCAGCTCCCAGAAAAGCATCAAGAAGCCCCCCCATGCCAGGGACACCGCCCCCTGCACCCTCTGCACCACTGTCCCCCAGCTCTGACCACTGCAGTCCCATCTTCTCTGTGGGAGAGGGTGACAGAGTTCCAGTCAGCCCAGGTGGTGCGGAGGTGTCAGCCCAGGTCCAGGAGATAGGTCTGCCAGGGACCAGTTTAGCCAGTTTAGGGTTTGGAGAATCAGCCCTGGTCACCTGAAGGTCCAACCTCAAGGGGAAAACCAAGAGGCCAGCCACAGCCTGGTCAGGGGCGTCTGCCTTCCACCTTCCATACCCTGAGGGCAAAGTCCCAGGGGAGGGGCCCCTCAGGGGGCTGGCTGCCACAGCAACTTCCTCTGTCCCCGGATCCCGAGGCCAGCACAGCAGCAGAAGCTGCGGGGGACAGCGCTCTGCCCGCTGTGTCCTCTCAGTGACCAGCTGTCACCCGAGCCCAAGGAGCCTGCCCCAGCAGCCAGGTGTGTTTGCCAAGCAAGTGCTGGAGCTTCCCGGACCCGCCTGCCCTGGAGGGGACGGAGCAGTGAAGGGCAGTGGGCCTGGCGGCAGGCTCTGGGACTGAGGGGACAGAAGCCCGAGGTGCCCGTCCATGTCCATGTGGGCCCTCTGCCCCAGCACCCACATCTCAGGACACCTCCTCCCCCAGGTTTGGCAGACCAGTTTGGGGATCACCGAGCTAGGGTGCTGTGTAGCCAGCAGAAGGGATACAGGATCCTGGGGTGCCCCTTGGCCTAGTCCCGCCACGCCACAGCCGGCTCCAGCCCCCGAGGCAGACCGGGACAGGGGTCGTGGGCTGGGGGTGGGGCGGGGCCCGGGCCTCCTGACCCCGCCCCGAGTGGAATGTATTTGCATGTCCCCGCCCCACACGCGGCATTGGCGGTGGCGGCGGGAGGCCGGGCCTGAGTGGCTGCGCGCCCATGGGGCGGCGGGGGCGGGGCGCGAGCCGGGTGCCCGGGATGATGCCGCTGCCGCCGCCGGGGAAAGGGTTCGGGTCCGGGTCGGGCTCTGTGGGCGCGAGGAACGGGACGACCTGGGGCGCGACGGCTGCAGCGCCAGCACACTGAGCGCCTGCCAGCCATGTCCAGGAAGAAGACCTCCAAGAGCAAGGGGGCCAGCGCCCCCGCTGCCTCCACTCTGCCCGCCGCCAACGGGCCCCAACCAGCGCGCTCCGGGACTGCGCGCCCCGGCCCCGACGCGCCGCCCAACGGGCCCCCGCAGCCCGGCCGGCCCTCTCTTGGCAGCAGCGGTGGCGACTTCTACGACGTCGCCTTCAAGGTGAGCCAGGCTCCCGCCCCCCAGGCCCGCGCAGCAGGTGGCGCCCGGTCTGAGCCAATGGTTGGGGGTCGGAGAGGGGGTGCAGGGCCCGCGGCCCCAGGGCACGGAGCCGACACGGGAGGCACCCCATGGGGCTGGCATGGTGCATCTCACACATACACACAGCTGTCCAGCCCAGGTCTAGGGTATCCAACAGCTGGCGGGGCCTGACCCCCCAGCCCCAGCCGGCATGGCGGTACAAGGGGCCCCGCGACCATCAGTGCCCGCATCCCGTGCCCTAATGCCCTAGCCCCTGCCTGGGGTCTCATCATTTCCCATATGCTGCCCTCCCTTACCCCAGGAGCTGTGGGCCTTTTTTTTTTTTTTTTTTTTTTTTTGCTGGGGGAAGAGGTTTGGACCAAGGCAGAGGCTATGTGGACTTGGCAGGCGGCTGGGAGGGCCATCTTTGGGTTTAGGATCACAGATTTTGGGGAGAGGGCCTTGACTGCCCCCTCGCCACCCCCACCCTCCCCATCCTCAGATTCGGCCCAGGTCCTTCCTCAGGTCGAGATCTAACTCTAACGGAGCAAATTCCTCTTGAGCCTTGCTGGGGTCATGTCCCTGCTGGGATGTGGAGAAGCCCCTGGGACAGAGGCCCCCCGCAAGTCTCTTAGGATGTCCCCAGCTGCCACCCCACCTGCTCCCTGCCTCAGATGAAGCATGCTGTCCACCGTCGGAGAATATGGACGGTAGGGAGGGTGCGGGATGGGGTGGCCGCCCTCATTCCCCACTGACTGAGATGGCCACTGTGTGGAAGGACAGAGCGGCCCAAGCCTTCCAGTGGCAGAAGCTGGGTGTCCAAGCCATTGGGGTCGCTGGCTGCGGTGTCTCCCCCGGGCTCCATGAGCCCGAAGACCTGGGCCGCCTCTTTCCACTCCTGCCCCTCACCTGCAGCCCCCTCCGACCAGGTCAGCTCGGGCAGAACAGGCTCCCCTGACCCTCCCGCCTGTCCTAGGTCATGCTGGTGGGGGACTCAGGCGTGGGGAAGACCTGCCTGTTGGTGCGATTCAAGGACGGCGCTTTCCTGGCAGGGACCTTCATCTCCACAGTAGGCATTGACTTCCGGGTGAGTGGAGGCCCCCGCCTGGCCCCACATCAGCCCACCGAGTCCTGCCAGTGTCCGCGGGCAGCCGGTTTTCTGTTACCACATGGTACCGACAGGCTCAGGAGGCAGGAGCTCCCAGCGGGGCTACCTGGACCTCAGGGGGGACGCCTTAGCCACCAAGCTGCCCACCTCAACCTCCGAACACTTGGGCTGGTGGCTGCACAAGCAATTTGTTGCCCCGTGCCAGGGCTGGCACTACCCCAGGATCATATCCTGTGCCTTGGGGGAGGCAGATGCTGGTGCCCACAAGGGGTGGGTCAGAGGAGGCCTTGCCTGGCCCTACTAACACATGCTCCCTGCAGAGCCTGAGCTACGGTGTTTCCAGGGCTTGCTCAGGGGAGAGGACCCTGCCCTTGGGTGAGGAGGCCCCCACCTCTGCCACCAGCCTGAATTCCTCGTGCTGAGGTGCTGGCGTGTTCTCGGCAAATCTTAAATTTGCATTTTTCTCACCCTTTAATTAGAGCCGGTTAGCAGGAGGATGGAGGGAAGACTGTCCCAGGGACAGGAAAGGGGGCTCTCTCCAGTCTGGGGAACTGTTCTCTACACCGTCTGGGGGGCTCCAGGCATCCTCAAGTCCTCTTGGAGGGAGTGAGGAATGAAGTGCCCCATGGGGTCAGGCCAGTCCTGTCTGGTCCACACTTGCCCACCTCTCCCGTCTCTCGGGTGGGCGGTGAGAGGTGAGGCCATCTGGTTCGCACCCTTGTTCAGGGTGCCAGGGAAGGCGGTGTCCTCCCCAGCCCAGCAGATGGTCCTGCCTGGTTCCTGGGAGACTCAGAAGCACTCTGACAGCAGCTCAGTCTGAGGGAGGTGGCAAACGTTCCAGCTGCCCAGGGCCTCAGGCTGCGGCTTTGAAGCCCCCTGCCCCCACCTCAGCAGATGGGACTGGGGCTGAGCCACTCCCTGCCTCAAGTCTCGTACTTAACTGGGAGGGCCCGGCCGGGGACGCTGCCAGCCAGCACACAGGAGCAATGGCTGCCAGGCAGTGCTGGGCTCTGTGGTTGTTGCCTGGGTTCAGACAGGCCCAGGTGCAGCCCTTGAGAAGACAATCCCAGCAAGAAGAGATTGTCTTTTGAGACAGGGTCTTACTCTGTTGCCCAGGCTGGAGTGCAGTGATGATCATAGAGGACTGTAGCCTCGAACTTTGGGGCTCAAGCCATCCTGAGAGGCCTTCAAATTAGCAAAAAGAGCTAATGGGGGGGGGGCGGAGGCATTGTAGCTTGTCAGTTACTGCAGCAGCCATGTGGTGGGGTTCAAGTCAGTCAGCACAAGAGGTTCAGAGGGAGATCTGCACTTTCAGGTGTGGACGAGGCCAAATTGGCTCAAGGGGGCACAGGGAAGCCCGAAGGGGCTGGGCTGGACCTGGAAGGTCCTGGGGTATGGGAAGGAGGAAGGAGAGCCAAGAGACTCTGATGGGGCGTGGGGTGGCAGTGAAGCTGGTGGGGCCAGAGCTGGCTGGTTCTGTTTCAGAACAAAGTTCTGGACGTGGATGGCGTGAAGGTGAAGCTGCAGGTGAGGTGACTGGCAGAGGGCAAGCTGGGGAACAGGGGTACTAGCGAGGGGCTGGACAGCCTAACCAGCGCCTGTTGCTGCAGATGTGGGACACAGCCGGTCAGGAGCGGTTCCGCAGCGTTACCCACGCCTACTACCGGGACGCTCATGGTGAGCCCCTGGGCACCTGGGCTGGGGAGGGGGGTCTGAGCACCTGAGGGTGCAGGTGATGGTGGATGTCCTCACTGCCCTGTCCCCAGCTCTGCTGCTGCTCTACGATGTCACCAACAAGGCCTCCTTCGACAACATCCAGGTCAGTGGCCTTCCTGGTGTGGTGAAAGGGCTCCAAAAGGGCCTGACCCAACCTTAACCTCCTTCTGGTACAGATGGCATCAGGGTTCCAAAGGACCCTGCTGAGAGGGAATGACAGCCTTCTGGGCCAGGAGGGGCTCAAGTGGACCTGAGTGCCATTCCAGCTCCCTCAGCGGGACTGTGTGTGTAAGGGACCTGTAAGATGGGCGCCTCTACGTAGTATACAGAGGCTATCATTTCTAAAGACAGGTATCCTGGACAGGCGTGGTGGCTCACCTGAGGTCAAGAGTTCGAGACCAGCCTGGCCAACCCCATGTCCATTAAAAATACAAAAATTAGCTGAGTGTGGTGCTGTGCACCTGTAATCCCAGCCACACAGGAGGCTGAGGCACGAGAATCACTTGTTCCTGGGAGGCAGAGGGTACAGTGAGCCAAGACTGCGCCACAGCACTCCATCCTGGATGACAAAGCAAGATTGTCTCAAAAAAATGAGATAAAATGAAGACCGGTGCCCTCTACAGTATAGCCTGGTGGGCCAGGGTTCTGGGGCAGTAGGCAAGCGGTGCAGGGAGCCCCAGTCTGGTCTGCTGCCCCCTACAGGCCTGGCTGACCGAGATCCATGAGTACGCCCAGCACGACGTGGCGCTCATGCTACTGGGGAACAAGGTGGGAGACCAGGCAGTGCTCAACTGGGCCGCAGGGCAGGTGAGGGGGCAGGGGCCAACCATGGGCTGGCTGCTACAAAGACCCTGTGCCTGGGCCAGGTGGACTCTGCCCATGAGCGTGTGGTGAAGAGGGAGGACGGGGAGAAGCTGGCCAAGGTGAGTCAGGGCTGGGGGTGGTGAGAGGGTGCTCCTGGAGGCTGTGGAGCCTAGGCTGTCCCCGCCAGGCCACCACCTGGCTGGCAGCAGCTGTTTATAGGAGTATGGGCTGCCCTTCATGGAGACCAGCGCCAAGACGGGCCTCAACGTGGACCTGGCCTTCACAGCCATGGCAAAGTAAGTCCTGGTGGTTACCAGGACTCCCCCAGCCCAGGGCCTGAACCCTCTTATTGGAGTCCATGCCATCGTGTCCCCTTGTCACCCCCGCTCTGCAGGGAGTTGAAGCAGCGCTCCATGAAGGCTCCCAGCGAGCCCCGCTTCCGGCTGCATGATTATGTTAACAGGGAAGGTCGCAGGGCTTCCTGCTGCCACCCCTGAACCTGGCTGAGCTCAGTCCTCCGGAAGAAACTGCCCAGCCTCCAGAAAGCTGCAGGTCTCCAGGCCCTTCTGACTTTGTTGCCCTGTGGCCAATGCCAGAGTGTGTTTCCAGGAGCCCCAGGTCAAGCCTTGCCCCTTCCTCCTCCCAGCAGCAAGCAGTCCCAACAAGCGGGCTTCTGAGAGCCCATGGCCTGGGCACTGGCCGCCACGGAAAAGCGGTCTTCTGTAACAGAGGGTGCGCACCAAGTGGACAGACCTTGCTACGGTGCTCTGCTGCCCCCTCCTGGGCATGCCTGGGTGAGGCTGGGCCAGGGCTGGCACTATGCACAGTGCCTAACCCCCTAGAAAAGCCATGTGTTCACCTGCACACGCTGCTCAGGCAGGTAAGGGAGGAGGATGCCTGCCCATGCCTGGGACAGAGGGCTTCATTGCTAATCACATTGTGCATTTGTATGTCCTGGGAGCTGCTCCCAGCCCACCCTCTAGGAGGCTCTGGCTCAAACAGCAGCAGGGTCTTCCTCAGTGACCTCGGAGGATGCCTGTGGCCTTGTGATATAATGTGGGAAATCACATAAACGCCAGAAAAGGGTAACTGCCAGTCCGGCCTGGCCACAGCTGAGGTCTGTGATTTCCAAACAAGCTCCACCTTGCACTAAAGTTGGCCTTTTAATTGCAAGCCTTTGTTTTCAGTCCTAGTGAATAAAGTTGTGTTTTCTGCAGTGTCTGTCTCACCTGTTCTGTAATCCCAGCACTTCAGGAGGCTGAGGCGGGTGGATCACCTGAGGTCGGAAAATTGAGACCAGCCTAACATGGAGAAACTCAGTCTCTATGAAAAATACAAAATTAACTGGGTGTGATGACTGTAGTCCCAATTACTTGGGAGGCTGAGGCAGGAAAATCATTTGAATCTGGGAGGCGGAAGTCGCCCCATTGCACTCCAGCCTGGGCAACAAGAGCGGAACAAAAAAAAAAAAAAAAAAAAAAACCACAGGCAGAAACGGAGAAGGCAATCCCAAGAGTTGTGAAGTCACTGGTAACATGACTTCCGTTTTCATGTCTCTACACTTTCCCAAGATTGCCAGTGGAAGAGCCAGACCCCTGGGGTGCAAGCATAGGGATTTAAAGACGTTGGAGAGAAAACTCAATCAACTCACTGCCTTTGTTTTATTGCTAAGCACTTCAGATAAACACAGCGCCCACCTTACCACTAGGCCCTCCGGACTGAGGTTTACTTAGGTTCAAAATTTGCAGCCGGCTCACGATGAAACCTGAAAGTAAGACAGCGCCAAAATGTAGACATGAGTCCCCACTCTCCCGTTTCGGGCAACACCCGTTTCCATTCCCAGCCCCTCCCCAACAGGATTGCGCACTCCCAAGCCTCAGTTTTGCAAAATAATCAGACTGCACATGCAGTTTTCATACGAGGTGTCAGAAGTCAAAGCAGTTCATCACAGGCTCGGAGAATAGGGGAACCCAAGCCTGGCCCAGTCTTACCTGCAAGAAGCTGTGGGTCTGAGATTCAGGAAGTAACGTTTAAACGCTCAGGGACAAAGTGGAGCGTAGGCCAGGGCTGGACGCTCGAGGACCTGACCAGCCTGCAGCGTTCGGCCGGCCCTCAAAGATACGTTCGTAGCCCATTTCTTCCCTGGTTAGTAGCACATGGTGTAATCAAACACACAGTTACCACCGTACGCTCGACCCCAAAAGAACGGACACGTGCCAGGCTCAAGCTTTAATAGAAACTGTCCCACCTCTGTGATTGGGCAATTCCTGGCGGAAGTGCCCGCCTTTTATTGCAGCTGATACGCTCCACTTCCTACCGTGTTATTTTCACCAATCGTACCTTGGCATTTCTTTTGGAGGCGGTCTCTCGGACCCAGACCTGAAGCACCTCCCTTATGCAGAGTCCGTGAAGCCTAACCGTGAGTGACGGATAAGTATAACCAATAAGACTTCGATCTGCAACATAGAGTGATTCTGAAGCCGCCAATCCCGCCCTGCGACGACGGGGCCGCCGGAAGTCGTAGTTTTAGAAATGCCGCGCCTGAGGCAGCTGCCCGGGCCCCGAGAGGCTGGGAACTACAAGTCCCGGCGGGCGCAGCGGTCGGGCGCTTCCGGCTCGCTTGTCCCTTTCCCGGCCGGCGGCCGAGGGGGCATCATGAAGCGGGCTGGCGGCGTTGCGGCTCCCAGGTGGCCGCGGGCGGGTGAGTGTCCCCGCGACGCGCCCGGCCCGGGGCTTGCGCCTCGGGGCCGCGCGGTGGGGCGGGATCTGGCGCGTCGAGATCTAGGCGAGGCGAGGGATCGGGCCGGGGGGGGCGGGGCTGAGGCGATCGGGGTCCGGGTCCGTGTCGCTGTCCGTCCGCCTGTCGGTTGTCCGTCGCTCGCTCCGTCCTGTCCTCGCGCGTTCTTTACTCATTCCTTCTTCCTGCGTTCCACGAGCCGCCCGCGTGCCATACACTGTTCTGGGCGCTGGAAGACTGCGGAGAACATCGTCCCAGTTCTCCTGAGCTCGGCGTCTGCTGCAGGGTTCCCCAACCTCCGCACCATCGACCACGCGGCCCGGGTCGCTCTTTGCTGCGAGGGGCTGCCCTGAACATTGTAGGATGTGGAGCAGCCTGCCTAGCTCCTGCCCGCTAGATACCAGTAAACACCTCCACTTCCTCAGTTGCGATAACAAAAGTCACCAGGCATTGGCAAATGTCTCCTGCGGGCCAACTCCCCCCGTCCCTGGTCTAGACAGACAGGGTGGAGGGATTGACAATAGATAGAATCATGGGGAGCGGCGGTATATGCTGTGAAAGAAAGAAACAGGGTGCTGAGAAAGTGAGTACTGGCCGGGGGTCGGGACGGCGCTGTCGTTAACCAAAGCCTGGTGGAGAGGCAGCCAGTCCTGGGACGTTGCAGGAGGAGCATTCCAGGCAGAGGGAGCCAGATGTACAAAGGCCTAGGGTGAGAAGGGGCCTGGCGTGCCCCAGCAACCACTGGCAAGTGGAGAGGTGAAGTTGATGAGGCCAGACCAGGTCCACAGGATGCCTGGCAAGTGGCCTGGAGGAAGAAGTGCTGGAGAGGCACTTCGGATCTAGGTCTGGTAAAGAGCCTTCTGTGTGTGCACCAAAGACTTTGGAGTTCACTGGGGAAGCAGGAGAGAGGTAGGCTAGGGCATCCTCTCCTACTCCCCACAGGGGTCCAGCTGTCAAGGCATCTTTGCCTTGAGCCAGCCCAGAGTGGTCATCTGGGGTTGAGTCTGGAGTCAGCAGGGGCCTGCTGGATCCTACCCTGCTCTCGGAGTGGGGGGCCTCTCACTTGCTGAGGAATTTCATGGCGCCCCAGCCTGTCTGCCCACCTTTCTCACCGCCCCTCCGACCTCTTCCTGGGCACTAGCCCTCCCTAAGGGAGGAGACTCCCTCTTCCTCATTCCTTCTTTTGGGGCCTCTCCCTTCCTAGGCCCCTTCCCTGTGCCTCTGCCTCTCTATTGTGAATATCCTGACTTCACTGCTCTGGGCATTTATAGTTCTCCGGAGAAGCCCTGGGCCCTTTGTCCTGAGGGTGAGCAGTGGTTTGGGCAGCCTGGCCGATGGAGGGCAGAGGCCAGGAGTCGGAACCCCAACTGGATGCCCCAACCTGAGGGTCTCTGATAAAGTGACTTTCTCCGTGGCTCACTGGTGCTGAGTGTCATATTTCTGGAAGTGAATGGAAAAGTTCAGGGCCTTTGGTACTCACCGAAAAGTACCTGTGGCAGATGGAGTGGCGATTGATGGGGCTCCTGCACATCTGTCTGCCTGTGTCCCCCACCAGGCCCCTAGCTCTTCCTGGGTCAGATTCGTGTTCAGCCATCACACGTCCCCATTCTCCTGCATAGGACCTGGCACCCTGTGGTGTGACTCTCGGCCAGCTGGTTGGGCATAGGAATGAGTGGTTTGGGGAAAGGAAGAAGGTGCAGTTGAAGGACCTGCTGGCCAGGAGACATGGGTAGCCTGGCCTTGGGATGCAGCTGCTCCCCAGCTTGGCATGGGACTGGTTCAGGCGCTGCCGGGGCTCCTGGGTGTGTGGCAGCCATGGAGGAAGCAGAAGGAATGGGGCTCTGGTCACCGCAACACGGACTGCTGGCTGTGTCCCAGGGTGGCCTCTCCGCCTTCCTCAGTCTCCATGGTCCACTCGGCAGAGCTACCATCTGTGGTGCCTTCACTCTTTTTTTTTGAGACGGAGTCTTGCTCTCTCACCAGGCTGGAGTGCAGTGGTGCGATCTCGGCTTACTGCAACCTCCACTTCCCGGGTTTAAGCAATTCTCAGCTTCAGCCTTCCTAGTAGCTGGAATTACAGGTGTCTGCCACCACGCCTGGCTAGTTTTTGTTTTGTTTTGTTTTGTTTTGTTTTGAGACGGAGTCTCGCTCTTTCGCCAGGCTGGAGTGCAGAGGCACAATCTCGGCTCACTGCAACCTTCGTCTCCCAGATTCAAGCGATTCTCCTGCTTCAGCCTCCTGAGTAGCTGGTACTACAGGCGCACGCCACCATGCTGGCTACTTTTTTGTGTTTTAGTAGAGATGGGGTTTCACCATAGCCAGGATGTTCTCGATCTCTTGACCTCATGATCCCACCTCGGCCTCCCAAAGTGTTGGGATTATTGGCATGAGCCACTGCACCTGGCCAATTTTTGTACTAAAAGTAGAGGCAGGGTTTCACCATCTTGGCCAGGCTGGTCTCGAACTCTCGCCTCATGATATACCTACCTTGGCCTCCCAGAGTGCTGAGATTACAGGCCGCCCAGCTGTGCCTTTACTCTTGACGGGTGCGTGTTCTCTTGGCTCCTTCCAGACAGGGGTCTGGCTCTACTCCATTCTCTCTCTAGAAGCCTGAAGCCTGGGAGGGTGGCAGCTTGCCCAGACACATAGCTGTGAAGTGGCAGAAGTGGAATCTGAACCCAGCTCTTTCTGAGCCCAGTGCCCGGGGCCTTGTCCATGGTGTCACACCGTCTCCCTGACAGACACCCTGCTGGGTCAGGGAGGGCAGGTAAAGAAGGCCAGCACATGCCCAGCCTGAGAGCTGTTGTGGGACTTCACCAGGCACTCGGTGTGGCGCATGCAGGAGGAACCTGTGGAGAGGGACCCACCAACCCCTTGGCCTTCGATAGATTCCCCCGCCGTCCCCAGCCTTGCTCCCTGGAGGAGGAGGGTGCAGCCAGGTGGGGCAGGTGAAAGGGGAAAGTGGGCACTGGAGGCTGGGGCTGGTCACGTGCACACCCGGACACCCCCAGCTGGAGGAGGCCAGCTGCCTGGAAACTTGGGGTGGAGGTGACCCAACCCTACAGGCACCCAGGTGGGAAGTGGGGGGCAGCCACACAGAGGCCCAGGACTGAGGGGCATGGGACAGTGTGGGGAAGGAGGTGGCGGTGCAGCTGGCATGAGGGCGCTGGGTGATAGAGTGGGTCTGGTGGTCTCTGACCTCGTGTTCCTGTTGCCACTTCGGGTCCACATCTGGCCAATGTTTGTGTCAGCTCCCCGCTGCTGCAGGGCAGAAGGAAGGAGGGAGCCTGAGAGACCAAGCCACACAGGAAGCAAATGAGAACACAGCCCAGGACTGGGGCGCGTGGGCTGAGCGGGGGCACTGCTGGCCCTTGGCTCTTGGGCAAAGCTCATGACCTGTTTCCGAGAGTCTGAGGCCCACGTGATTTGTATCAGAATCAGAAACACTCCCCAGCTCAGCGGGCTGAAGCTGGGTCTCTTCCTGTGCCCCAGAATACTCTCCCCACTCCGGATGCCAGTAGCCTCGTCCTCCAGGAAGCTCTCTGGACTTCACCCGGACTGGGCCAGCCAGGTCCCCACACGATAGATAGCACTGAGATAGGGAAAAAAAGGACTGAGAGATGTTGCCAGCTCCCAAGGAGCTGGAGGGGCAGCAAAACGCATCCTTACTGTGAAGTCAGGGTAAAGCCTTGGCTGAGCTGGGGGGACCTCCTCCCTGCAGCAGAGGGAGGTGTGGACACTGGATAGGCTTGGCCAGGGCAAGACAGGCTTGGAGGCTGGGTGGATGCAGTAGAGACAGAGCTGGGGGAGGAGTTCAGAGGCCTCTGCAGAGCTGGGGCTGTGGGTGTGGTGGGCAGGGACAGGCGAGGGGGGCGAGGTCCTGGGCCTCGGTGCTAAGAGGGAAGGGAGGTTGGAGCTGACCTCAGACCAGGGCCTGCTGGGGTTCTGAGGAGATTCTGAGGACCAAGGCAGGCAGAGGCCAGGGACACCCCAGGGGCCTTCGACGTCATACCCTGCCTATTTGGGATGGAAAAAGCGTTCTAAGGGACGGCAGGGAACAGCTGCGGAAGTGCGTGTGGCTTTGCTATAGCAACCAGGACTGTTTCTACAGAATTTAGCGGCCTGGGCTTGGGCCAGGGGGCCGAGGCAGGGGCCGGGCTGGGGCGGGCAGTCTGTGGGTGCCCTGGGTGGGCTCCGTGATGCCAGGGGCCGTGCTCAGAGCTCTGGCTGCAATCCAGCCACACACAGTCCTGTGGCAGACCAGGCAGAGACTTCTGGAACCATCCCAGGCGCTTCCCAGGGCAGTGGTAGGCCTGATGGGCACACCCACCCCCTGCTGGGTTCACACACCCCACCTGCTCCAGGTTGCTGGAGGAGCTACTTTAAGGCCAAGTCTGGCTCCAGCAGGGAGCTGCATCTGGAACCCCCAATTCCTCCACTCAGCAGGGCCCCCCAGGGCTGCTG